GGGGGACCCAGCCTCTTCCCGCCGGCGCGTCCGTCGCCGTGGAGCGGCGTCCCTGTGTGCTGGGCCCCGGCGATGGGATGTGGGGCTGCCCCGCCGTCCTGCCTTTTCCTCTGGGCACCCACATCTTAGGGGCTTAGTAAGCGTTATTTTTTCTGTCTATATACAAATTGAAATTAGTCGAGAACAAGTATACTTAGACTTACTAGGTCTTTTTAACAAACCACCTGTAAAACTGGGTGTTTCCATGTTATCTAGCATCCTTTTTTAAAAAAATTAAAGGCTTTGTGTTTCTGCTCTCCCTTTGTTGATAACAATAAAACTCAAAGTATATTTGTGGCCATGTTGAGTTCCTGTGTGACTGAAATTGCAGTCTTTCTCTAAGAAGGGCCTCTGAGTGAAGTCTCTGTGAAGCTGGCTGTTTTTAAGAAGCTTGTAAGAACTTTCTTAAGTTCCTGTAACTTAAAAAACAGTATTTTTATCCTTTTTGCTGTATGTGGCTTTTATTTTTATTTTCTGTTCCACAGTATTTCTGGGCCAAGTGGAAGAATCCTGTGAGGAGGGTTGGTGATAGAAAGGCTGGATGATCCCCACCATTTTAAGCCATACAAGAAGATGCTGAAGTGTTGAACGCATTGGTTAGTTCTTTGCTTATATTAACAAAAAGTATTTTGACTTTTTAGTCCCAGCTTAAGCAAATGAATGAACAAGGAAGAATCTCCTCTGATGCACAGGGATGTTGTTTTTCACCCTGAGAACATGCTGGAACCAAGTCTGTACCAGAAGCAGCTTTTGAAGGACGCACATATACTGAAAAATTGGCTGAATGGAAGGTTAAGGTAACTGTGATAACGTATCCACCAAACGTGATCATAGCTTGTCACTAATAGAGAGTAAATGCTGGAGGAACTCTCACCTTCTTTCCCACTCTCCTTACTACCTCCTTGCTATCCCCGAAGCACCTGTTACGACTCACAGGAAACTGCAGTAGGAAAACCTGCTGCAGTCTCTCCGTGTCTTCTGGAAAGACCTGTGTCTTCCTCTGAAAGCCGAGAATCTCTCGGATCATGAGCAAAAGTAATCACTTAAGAAGACTTCTTTAAATCCACTAATGCTTTCATAAAGTAGCTGTAAAACTGAGCATTTTCTATTTTCTTTTATATTCATTACGGGAAGTAAAATACATGCGTCTTTTTGCTTTCAGGTACTGATATTGTACTAGCGTTGCTCCTCTACTTCGAGCCAGCATGTCGAAGAAATCGGAGACTCCGCTTTCCTTGTCTGACTGCCTCTGCCAAATTTGCATGGAGATCTTTGTGGAGCCCGTCACGCTGCCATGCAACCATACCCTCTGTAATTCTTGTTTCCAGCTGACCGTTGAAAAGGCCAGTCTTTGTTGCCCTTTTTGTCGGCGTCGAGTCTCTTCTTGGGCACGATATAATGCCCGCAGAAATACTCTTATCAACTGGGAACTCTGGGAGAAGATTCAGAAGAATTACCCGAAGGAGTGTGAGCGTAGGATTAACGGACAGGATTTGGAAGAGGAAAGTAAGTGAAATGTCACTCGTCCTGGGACGTCTTTGCTTTACCAAAGTAATTACTGTTGGTGGACTTTGGATGTTGTGAAATAAGAAACTGTGCATAGTCAGGCTGTGTTACTGCTAGAAAATGCAGTGTCAGAGCTCTCCTGTGAAAGGGGCTTGGAAGGCAGAGAAATGGCCGTCCGTGCCTGTTCCGTTTGTAGTACAGAGGGTAGGTTATATTGTCTGATCGTTTAAGTGGATGTTTGTTCATGCGTTTTGCACAAAGCATTGGTGTATGGCTGCCTGTCCTTGCAAAGGCAATAATTCATTACTGGTAGTACTCTAGCTGTAAAATCTGTAAGTGGAGAGTGTGTGTGTTTGTTTATCACTAGCAAGTAAGTGAAGCGGTTAAAAGTTTTTCAACTCTTAGATGGTGTTAATTTGTTTGGTTAGAAATTCCAGGGCTTGAGTCTATGCAGGAGTCTCTGAGCCTAAAATTGTGGTGTCAGAGAAAAGGAAGTGAAATCTGATTAACTCTGAAGAAGGATTTGGGGGTTTATTATGTTGTAAGCTCTGTTGGGGGAGGCTAGTTGGTAGGTTGGCTCTATGACACGTTGTTACACTTGCAGTGTTATGAAGTCTTTTTAATCACAAAAAGTGAAAGACATAAGTCATGGTCAGCATACGTACTTGCTCTACATACAGTGCTTGGAAAACACTGACTGTTCCTGCCACTCTGTTACACAGTGCTTTTTTATTTTCTTCCTTTGTAACACAAAGTGCTTTTTTTTCACAGCACTTGATTTAAGTCAAATCATTTCTGTGACAGGGTGTGGAAGTGATCTTTTGTTAAAATCTTTCGTTGTTGACTGTCATGGTCTTGCTTTTTTCCTCACTTCTTTTTTTCCTTCCTCTCATTTAGTATGTGTCCCCCATCCGCAACACCAGCTGAGCAAGCCTGGGGAACTGAGGCAGGAATATGAAGCAGAGATTAGCAAGGTAAGTCTAAAAATATATTTAAAAGCATAAATGGTTTAGTTATCTAGTTATTTTGTTTGTTCTCACAAACAGTTGTAATGTTATTTAACAAAAAAAAAGGTACTTAAAAAGGCATTGCTGCTGCAAGAACACACTGGTCATTCCCAAAGCATGAATTAAATGTTTATCCTTTATGGAAGAGGAGAGACTTCCTTGTGTTTGACACAAGGTGACATGTCTCAAATTTTCTTGTGCTAGTTGATCTATACCTCCTACCTCACCCTATCAATCGGTCCAGTAACATATGCCGCCTTGTTGTCCCTGCAAGTAGGTGTGCTTTGCAGGCTAGGAAACACAGAGGTACAGACACAGCAGAATGCCCAGGCAGGTCTCTGTTAGTCAATACCTCGCATTTCCCAAAACTCTACAGAAGAGTTCTTTCAGGGTTAGGGTGTCACCTTTCACTGTCTGCATCCCTGCCTGCACATACTAAAATGCCTTTTTTAGGTCCTCAGATGCACATAAAGTATTTCAGGCTAGCAAATGTAAAAATTTGCAAGTTTTGGCTTTGGTCTTGTACTTGCCTTCCTGATTTCCTTCCCTATGTAATATACCACGATGAGATGAACTTGGGTAATGAACATACAGCATTTTCTTTCCTATTTGCTCACTCCCCGTGTTATCTGTGTTCATTTGATTTGAGAAAAGATAAGAAGTCTTGATGTTTGTCTAAGGATCTAAAGGATCCTTCTTCCTCCAATTCAGACACAACAGTAGTAAGAATTATAGTTGGAAGTAGTATCGGAGTGCTCCTTTCCCTGACAGCCCCATTGCTGGCTGTTACAGGAGCAGGGGGAGTACATGAAACAGAGGACTGGGATTCTCTTTTATGGTAGTTACGGGATAAGATTGATTGGCAGCAACAGTATTGGTGGTTAATTGGAGATGGTGCCAGTGAAATATGTAATGGTGTCTAGTGCCAATCATAAGTCATCAATACATGATTTGAAACAAACTCAGACTTAACATAGCTTGTGTAGTATTACAGCTTGACACTTTTCTCTAAAGCAGATTTCCAAATTCCGTTACCCAGTTAAGAAAGCTTTATTCATTCTTGAAGTACTTTGCTGTTCTTGTGGAGTTACTGATAACTGATTTACCAAGAGTGGATGTCTGCTGTAAAGAAGGCAGATTTAAAATTCTTGGTCTGCTGCTTTGGGTTTTGTGTGTTTCAAGAGAGCAGAAGGACTGAGGAGAGAGGTGTGCTGTCTTTTAGGCATCTTGTGCTAATATTGACATTATGATGATACAAGCAGATTGAGCAAACGCTGTGGTCTAGCTGGCGTCCAGCCTTACAAAGAATCTTAATTTGAGTTTCTCTATAGATCCATGTATTTGGAGATCTTAGTTTTTGTTACTAACATTTTCAAAGGTGAGTAAATGAATTTTAACCTCGCATGCTAGCATGGTTAATGGTGTACTCTTACAGAAACCAAAAGGTAGGTCACTGTTATCAAACTGAAGACTCTACACACAGTATCAGTTTGATTCTTACATCTTTGCAGAGTTGTGTAGTTAAATACTGGCTTTGAAGTGTGCAGAGCATCTTTGTGAATAGTGGATTGTTCACATTTAAGAAGCGTCAGCTGAGAGGTTCTGGTGTAAAGTGTGGTTCTATAGTAGTAACCTTAAAAAAAAAAATCTTTTTTAGGTGGAGGCAGAAAGGCGAGCACATGAACAAGAGGAGAACAAGGCAAGTGAGGAATACATTCAACGGCTTCTAGCAGAAGAGGAGGAGGAACACAGATTGGCAGAAGAGAGACGGAGGGAAATGGAGAAACAGCTGAAGCAAGATGAAGAGTTGGCATGGCAGCTCAGTAACAGTCTGGTGAGTTAGGATCAAGGGGGACAGTAGAAAACATTGATACAGTGCAAGCAACTTAGACTTCACAAAGCAAAAGTTAACATTTTGAATAATTTAGATTTATTTTAATTGTAGTTGGAAGCTGTTGTCAGCCCCCAGTACTTTAGATCCTTGATTGACCATTAACTTTTGAAGAACCAGTGGGAGGATGAAGTACCCCAAACATTTCTACCTGTGTAATATGCACTTGAAATGTGTGCTGGATGTTTTCATTGTGAAACATTTTAAAACATTGGTTTTCTTCTCAACACTTCTTTTTCCTCATGATTTTAAAAATACTTCTTTGGAAGAAACTGATGTCTGTAACCTATACTGAAAAAAAGGAATGTACGATGGAAGTTTACCTTATGTTTTGGGGTTTTTCTGTTTGTTTTGTTAATTTGTTTTGGGGTTTTGGTTGGTTGGTTTTTGCTACCTGATAATAGTCCTAATGATGAAACCTGTGTACTTAGTTGAGCAAAACCTCTTGTCCCTTAATGCCAGGTGCAGGAAAGTGTACAGAACATGTAACTTTTCTTATTCCATAACTATCCATTACTTACAGTTCTAGAATTCTTTGGACAAAAGTAACTAATTCTGCAGCAGAAACAAAGTAGTTCTCTGGGTTTTTTCCAGTTTCTGTTATGTTTTGTTTTATATAATGCTATTTTTACTTGTCATCGGAGAATGACGATTCCAAAGGACATGTGCTCAGCAGTCCTTCACCAGCACACAGTCTCTCATCTGAAACATCCCCAGCTAATTTGTGTAAGATGAAGAACAAACCAAGCAACTCTGGAGACATTCAGAAGTAAGTAATTCAAGTTTTTCTTCTTCAATTATTGGTCTGTTTGTTGGTATAGTGTCCCTCTGCTCCATTTGCTTCTTTGGAATCCTGTAGTCCAAATTCCCTGGATAATCTGGAGCAAATGTAAACTGTTGAATGTTAAAATGTCTCCTCGTAGGATAATATGGAGGAGAAGGGAAACACTTGCCCTTCTCTTGTTTTCGTTTGTCAGAATGAACCTGAAGATCTTCATTAATGCAAAAGACTGACAATTCAAGAAAAAAAAGTTTAAAAAGGTATACTTTTTTTTTCCCCCCCTTTAAGGTATCTGTCTCCAAAGCTGCTTCATACATTGGGATCAGCATCATTCTCTAGAACAACAGAAAGAGGCAGGAGTGACTCTGGCTCTGTGGTAACTAGAATAATTTTGTTATAAATCTCAGTGTTAGTAGTTATGGGTTATTTTCCCCTTGCCTATAGGATTGCTGATAATCCTATATTCCCCTTGCACATCAGCACTGGACAGTTTATCTCGCCCTTCTTGAACTACCTTCAATATTCATGATTCCCCAAAGTGGAAAGAGAAGAAACCATGCTTGACAGTCTGCAGATGCACACCTATGGCTTACTTCGATAATCACCTCGTGTAGCCTTACAAGTACCTTACCTGAATGCCTTCAGCAAGCTCTGGATTGCAACCGATGGTGTATTATAAAACTAACATGATGGTTCTGGAGCTCACTGGAGGAGGTTGCACTCTGATTTTCATCGTTCCGTATGTCTGTCTGTCTGATCTTTCCTGTTAAGTTTCAAAAGAAGATGAGCAGGCTAATACCTTGAACAGTTGATTTGAGTCATTGATAAGAGGAGAATGCTGCAGCTGTGTTTTCCGTCCTTTAGCTAGGCTTTTGTAGGTTGTTTTAAATATTTTCATTATTATTAAACAATTATGAGAAGAATCCAAGTTAATATCCCAGAGTAGTTATGAGCAGTGCAGCTCTGAGAAGTGAGATTTGCATTTTATTCATACCCACTAGCTTTTGATAAATTTACTTTATTAGTGGTCTCTCCCTTTTCTTCAGGAAACCAATAGCAATGAAGGCAGCAGTTCTGCGTGGCAAGATGAGCAAGAGGAAATGCCAACACTGTCTCCACAGCTGACTGGTGTGATTAAAGATTCCAGTGCTAAGGATTCGTTTTTGGAATCATGCATGAACTATTTCAGTGCCTCAGCTTCAGGGGAGACCGCCACTGTCAAGCAGGAAAAAACACCAGAACCAAATGGTCTAAGAGACGTTCCAGATGCGCTTCATGGAATCGCAAAAGGGGAAGGGTCTAGAACACTTCTTTGTAGATCCAAAGGAGATGATGATGGAATTGAGTCATCAGACAGTGGCAGTTTAACACATGTAGAAAGCATAAACCTTGAAAACTCTGCTGAAACTTGTACCTGTATTCAGTCAGCAACAAATTCTGTGGTGTCTGACAGCAAAAGCGTAACATGTGATCTCATGAAGGTGGCTAGACACTCAGATGAAGAGAAACCAGAGAGACTGCAGAACACTAAGGAGACTCCAAAAAGAAAGTCACTGGAGCCACCAGCTGAAGCAGTGGTTGACTTGTGCGTGCTTGGTAAAAGGAGAAGAACTTCTCCTGAAAGTTTAGAGGACCAAGGGGAGCAGATAAATGATTTTAACTTGCAAATGCAGAAAGCCTTTGAGCAGGAGTTCTATGAAAGGCGTATGCAAGAGGAGCAGGACAGGCTTCTGGCTCTGCAGCTACAAAAACAGATCAACAAGGAGGAAAGGACACTTAATCGACAAAAGGGCTCTCCAGATGAGTACCTACTTCGCACCAAACCACCTCAGTCTGTGAAAGACTCTCCTGCTAGAAAGGGAAGTTCTAAGATGGCAAAAGACTCAAAGGTACCAAAAAACCAGGCTGAAACAAATCACCGCAAGACTCGGAAAGGTTCTTGCAATGAAAACTGGCAGTCCCCTACCAGAGTCCGAATGAAATCGCCCAGCATCAAGGGAGGAAAAGTTTTGAATTGTGTGGTTAATACCAGTGATGCAAGTGATATTTGTTCGCTACCTAAGAATAAGCAAAAGACAATCCTTCAGATGTTTAAAAGCTCTGTTGCAGAGTAGATCACACGGTGGAATGAGAATTAAAACCGTGGTAATGCTTTCTCCTGTGTTAGGCAAAGCTTCCTGTAAACAGTTTTGAAGTTGTTGGTTTTGAGGGGGATTGCTTTGAGTCACAAAGTTGTGTATTCTGAGAAGTTTTAATAACGTACACCCCCAGACTTTAAAATATTTTAATTCGTCTTTTCTTGACTACAGGTTATTTTCTAGCACTTCCATTTACATAATTTTGAATGTGAATACTGTTAGTGTTTAAAACCAAAAATAACTGATGGTCTTATCTTAGAATGAGAATTCAGAGCCTTTTATGGAAAGGATGCACATTCCACGGAGGAAACAAGCGAAAAAATGAGTCTGTATTTCCAGTTGTCTGCCAACTGCAAGATTGAAGCTTTACGTGGCACCACCACTGTTCCGTTAGCCTAAATCCCAGTAGCATGTTTCGGTTTACTTATTGAATTGCATTGTTCGTGTGACAGTTAACAAGAGTATAACCGGACAGCCAGTCTTGCAGACACACTTTTTCCCTCTCCCTCTCATATACTAACTCCTTTCTTAGACAAAGAGGGAAAAACCAGATCATTCTCCCACTGCCAAAGCCAAGGATCTTTCACAGGTGCCAATAGTATAAGTGGTTGTGGGCTTGTATTTACCTCTGTTAATAGAGGTCACTTCTGCAGATCTGACTTTCACTGTTGTTAGGAAAAAGATACTTTTGGTTTTTTATTGCTAGTGTTCTGCAACTTTATTCTTGTACGAGAATATTACTTATCTTTAGTACTATTTAATTTTCATACTCAAACTGGTTTGAGTCTGATTAAAAACATATAATATTAAAAAAATAGTTAGTCCAGAAGACAGTTACGATGGAGAAAGTTAAACGAAAAGGGGGAAAAGCAGCTGAAAACTGGAGTTGTCAGTCATGACGTAACTATAATTAAAGATTCACATAACTACCATGCCGGGCTGTAACTGGCTCCCCCCCGCCATTTTTAGAGGAACTACCAAATACTGTCTTCCAGTTGGGTTTAAAAACTAACATCATTCAAAAGAATTACAATTTAGACGTGGGGAAGTTGAGGCCTGTAGGAGGTTGAGGCTTGTGAAGAGTTGACCAGCTGCCTCTCAGCAGAGGAAGTATTTTTGCTAGATTGTTTTATCTGTTGCTATTATGAAACCATCTTTTGGCCTTTCTTTGCTTGTAATGAGATACTTTTCCACTGTACCTGTTTGAAAGAGAGCAAAGCACCAATCTACATTGCTGAAGTGTGTGTGGTAATCACCAAAGTTTGCAGATGTTTTAAATGCGTACTATTTTTGAACCTCATTGATGATCTATAGACTTTAACTCAGTTCTGGGAAATTTGTAACAAAATACTTCAAATCAGTATCTTCTGATGTTTTAAGTTTACAAAAAAAAACCCCACAACCTGAAATGTTATTGAAAGCATGAACAGCACACCAAGCCAAAAATGTGAACTGTTTTTTTTTTCGTTGCCTGCGTGTCTCTCTTAATGGTGGGTTTCGCATAAATAAATGGTCTATTCTAAGATGCTTTTTGAGAAAGTTACAAGAGGTGACCACTTGCAAATCATTCACTGTTCCTCTTGCTGCCTCAACCATTGTGCTGGAAGCCTGCCTTCAATATAGATCTGTTTCTGTTTAATCCTTACCTTCATATGGGTTGTTTTCTGTCTTACCCAGGCAGTTAAGTATCATCCTTCATTAATTAGAAGTGTTCTTTAAGGCAGAGATATTGACTGTTTTATGCTAGTGATGCTCGGCCTTTCCAGTTGAGATAAGTACGTGAGAAGTATACTCTCAATTTTCAAAACAGATGAGGAGAAAGAGTTTATTTTTTAAGTCTATTCAGCCTCCTTTTACAATGAATTTCTAAAGTCTGATGTTTATTTTTAATTTGCTTGAAAGATGGTCTGTGCTCTGCATGGAGCTTCTCCTTCCAAGATCACCTCTCCCAACGACTGCTGCCCGAAGCATGCCTGAGCAGAGGCACCATGTGCTCCTCTGATTTATTGATGTTTTGGTGTAATGGGTTGTTTAGGATTTCAGAGCAGGTTGGAAATGGTTTGGAGTAGTGCAGGGCAGTTCCTGGTCTCTTCTTGCACAGGTCACCCCTGCAGCCGCCTGCTGCCCAGACTCTAAAATTTATGCCTGATGCAACTGTCTCTGCAGTTTGAGATACTTGGTTTCTATGGTCCTGACAGTACTGCTGTGCCCTTCCAAGGGGTTTGAATGTCTGCCCTGTTCTTCTCAATCACTGCCTTGAACATCTAGCACTGAAAGAGTCTGAATCTCAAGCATTTTGAAGAGCTGGCCATTCATATGTAAGAAATAATCTTGCACGTATTAGAAATTCTGACCCTGGTTAATTGCTGTTTTTTTCTCAGATCAACCATCATTATACTCCAGTACAGCAGTGCTGGCTTTGGAGTTGCTTTTACAGCCAGGTCCTAATGTTTGATAGATACTTGGTGAAAAAGGAAGGGAAGCATGTGTGGTCATACAGGTATATATCTATATAAACACTAAAGAGCTGAAAAGAATGAAGCTAGAAATGAAATATATATCCCCCAACAGCCTTAATCTTCATTAGAGTTAAACTTAACCTACTGCTCTCATTGTTTTGGGGCTAGCTCTGTCCCTGTAGCAGGCTGACACTCAGTAACGTACACTTACTCATAAGATAGGAGGCATTTTGCTTAAAAACCACAGTGTGAGAGCTTGCTAATTCTGCAGGATCATGCAGTCTAGCTGAGTACACCTCAACAACATGGAGTGAGCTGCCATAACAGCTCACTGACAATGACAGGGTTCCTATGCTTGTGCCAGCTTTGGCATTCGGGGACTCTCCGCAATTTAGTTCCAGATGTTAAAGGGGTAGGGGAAGCATTGAGGGGGGGCAGGGCAAGGGAAAAAGGATAATTTCCCTTTTGGGCAGCAATGCGCCTCGTGCAACTAGCTCAGCTGCATGTGAAACCATGTCCCATGTATATGGGATTGCTGCATGTAATACCAGTTTCATTCCCTTTTCCTCCCCAAGCTGTTCCGTGGATTTTTTCTTTTCCGTTTTAATGTGTCGGTTATGTGTCTCTTCCATGTAAGGTTTATGAAATGCACTAAACTAATCCCAGTTAGAAGTTCGATGGGGGGGGGGGGCGGGGGGGGGGCGCGGACGGGACTTTTTGCATCTTACTCTTCAGTCTCGCATGGACTTACTTCCTTGCCATCAATAGCAAATCCTGCTGCTGCGATTCATTGAAAATAAATACAAAAATTACAGAAACTAACAATTTCAAATGTCTAAATAGTACAGAAGTATACTTTGGTGTGTGTATATATATGGGGGTGGTGTATTTGGGGGTTATTTGTGTTTTTCCAACTTACTGGATTTTGTTCTCAGTGTAATAATGACCTCTCACATAAGAATCATTTTTTTAAGCAGGATGGAAAAAAAGCAAGACTAAAAAGTCAATTATTAGCTAAAACCCAACCTTAACTGCAAAATACACAAAACCTACAACCTGTACCAGAAGGCCAGTCCAGCAGCCTCATCCGAGGTGGGGTACTGCAAGCCCTCAGGTCCCAAAAGATGATCATATTCCTTATTGCGTGCGTGGCATAATATTCCTCACCGGGCACCTCTTCAGCCTGTCCTTTTGGATTTTTCTTGTTGGAGGGTGGAATTTGGCCACTGCTGAGTGCATTTTAGTTGCACCAGCACCCTGTTTCCATTGTTACGATCCGGGAACTTTGAAGCAGGTGAAATCAGCTTTGACCGTTTTAACGGTGTTTGCGAAGCAAGAGTCCGTACTTAGACTATCTATCTGAGCTGGTGTAATGGTCCACTGCTGCTCGAAAGGGTGAGCTCACCTTCTGCCTTCAGCTAGCTCTAGTGATTTATTTGTCCCCTTTGTGAACAAGTTCAGCTCATCCAACTGCCAGGAAAACAAAGCAAGTACCAAAAACCCCAAATACTTAGACGGGCTTGGTCGCTTCCCTGAGAGCCAGAACTGATGTGGGGATGGGAGGTGTGGAGGGAAAGGAGCAAGAGAGAGAACAGATCTACCTGTTTTCATGGCAGCAAGTTTTTAAATGGTCTTAGACTTCTAAGGAAACCTCTGCTTTCTGTGGTAGTCACTTTGGTTGACACTTGTTAATGACAAGGCACTCTTCAGCACTCCAGCCTGCTGACAGTGTTGGCAGCAAGCCAGCCACATGCCATGCTATGTTGTAAAACAACTGAAAGTAGTAACACGTTCCTTTTCTACGTGTGCAATTTCTGCAGGTAGCATAGGGATCGAAAACACCCAGTGTGCTTGTTGCTGAGGCTGTTTCTCTTCTGACTTTGAAGAACTGACAGCGAAAGTATCCCAATAGCAAGGGCTGCCCTGCAATGAGCTCCCTTGACAGGAGCAGCAACACCATTTCTTGGCCACCTCAGGTCCCACCTCCTCCCTTGCAGCACCTGAGGCCCCTGTACGTGCATCTGCGCGAGGACAAAGGCCTGCCAGACCCCTTACTTCAGCATAGGTGTATCTGTGATGAGGCAAATCCGCGTGGAAGCTCTGGCCTCGTGTCGTGAGCACTTCAGTATCACCGCTCTGCTCTTCGAGTCCCATGATTAATGATAGCGGAGGGTCTGAAAGGTAGAGGGGAAACTTGCCAGCGGCGATAGCACTTGAAAAGCCGCGGAGGCCGCTAA